GGCGTTTATATTTCACCGGAACAAAACTATGGAAGTTGGTATATTGACCATTCCATGTTTTCTTTCTGTTGATCTGTCTTCCTACTGATCCATCTTATTTCCTGGACACGGCTACATCCAGAAAGGCCAATATGTTGTTCGTTTCAACCTCTACAGTAAATTCCAGTGATAGATGTGCTTCATTAAACAATTTCATTATCTGTTGGATGTCATGTTTACGATCGGTCACACAGAAGATGATGGATTGATCTAGAAATTAAGCAGGAATTTTTGCATACCATTGTTCAATGAACATCTGGTCGTTCATGGAGCTTTCATTTGAGAGAGCCATCGGTCTGTCCCGAACCAGATTCATCAAGAAACATCTCCGTTCAAATCGGGCTGAGAAGACACACCTCTGACCTTTTGGCTCTGTTTGAAAGGCTCTGCAATCAATAGTTTTCAATAGCATAGCCTGTTTAGCGGAATGCAAATTCGACCATTACTGCCATTCTTGTTAAACTGAGGCCAAGCACAGAGTAGAAGAGCACTACTTAGATTGTTGCTTGAAAGGAACCGGAAGGCGCAGAAGCAACAAGAAAGTGCTAGTGAAGCCCTATGTGCATTAAGACTACAAGTTATGTTGGCAATTACCATGAGTGAATAGCAGATATTCGCGAACACGGAGTTTACCTTTGCTGTTGATCATCCAAAAAAGATGCAATAAAATGTTTTTTGTTAACGCGAAAAGGCATCATCCGGTACTGGATTCCAAAAAATATCAGTGTGGTAAAAGTAACCGATACATGCAACCTTCACTCGAAATTACACGACCTTCCGCTTAGAGTTAAGAGAAACACAGCAAAATCATCCATTATTCTGATTATAAATTCTCGAGTTGCTAGTCAGTCATCTTTTGATGAGAAATAGAAGGGAGTGAAACCCCTCCGAGGGAAGACTAGTGGAAGTGGTGACGTACGCTTTGTAACTTCGAGTTGTAAAACGAAAGAGCTCCAAAGGGATGGCCATGATAGGAAAGTAAGACCGCTTAACACTAAAGCTGAGTGGCTCTGATCAAAGAGAAGCCCTAGGCAAATATGAAGGTTGTAATAAAAACTTATAAACGATTCATTCGCATCAAACCGATATTAATTGATATCGGATGTGACAACTATATTTCTAAACTTGAGATAAGCAGTTATGATTGAACCGAAAACAGCAAAATATCAGCGAAATCTGAAGGCAAAACACGACAGAACTAACCTCGCACGGATTCCATTCACCGAACCGGACACTTCGCTTCTCGTTGGCCAACAAATCTCTGACTCTAGTAAGACAATCAAATGCAGGTTGTTGTTTTTTGTCACCCCCGCGAATGACCGCTTTCTCCAGTTTGTCCCACTCTTTAAGGACATAATCTAAATCCTTCAGGCGCAATTCATCTTCAATAATCTCCAGATCCCGTATTGGGTTTATATCACCTTCCACGTGCGAGATGTCTTCGCTTTCAAACACGCCTGTATTCAACGAAAGAGGTCAGACAATAAAAAATCATCTCTGGAAACCGCAAGGGCGTTAATTAAATAGCAACCAATACTGAATTTCAATTACCGGTATGCATGTGCAGCGTGTTATTTTAGCCAGATATGAAGAGCTTTATGTAACCGAGTGAAAAGGCATAAAAACTGACTTGGTATCCTAATGGTTAGCAACCCGGGTTGAAAATTTCATGGAAATGATACAAAATACAGAATTGGTTTCTAAAACGAGATTTTAATAGAACTAAGACTGGTAGGCAAAGGTTGGAGTTGAATTGGGGATTTCGTTTCAAACTATTGATAATTTGTTCAGGTGCTTCAGGTCGGATTATGCAATGATATACCGGTCGCACAAGGGTGTTGTTTCAGCATCGTTAGAATTCCGTATGAGAAAACATTTTTGAAGGCCGAAACCGTTTGTCAGAAAGGAGTCAAATGGTCGGAATCAACAAACCTGATCAAGCATTCACTACTGCCAAACTGAAAAAGGAAACATTTTCCAAACGTGCGTGTGTCTGATGGCTCGGTGCGCACATTGTGTTTGCCAGGGATGATTCCAGTATCAGATTTATACTAAATCCCTCATCAGACTTCGGGTTTAAGCCTAAAGTTGACTTTGCTGGTCAAGTCGTAGGGTAAGGTGGTTGCATGGATGGCGATGAGCATAAAGGTGAAAAACGGTACGAAAATGGTAAGTGTGGAATAAAAGCATCTTGTGCTTGGAAAGGAAAATAGAGCCTATAGAGTTCGTTACCACACCTCAAACATCACTTTTGAATTTTTGATTCACACGGGTCAGCGATGTCTATGATTTGATCGAATCTGACTTCTATGGGTATTAGTGGCTTGTAATGTGGAAGAACTCTTAGCAGGCAAAGATACGCTGTGTTCTCAGTCATTATTGCGGAGCGCTTATCACTTTTATCCGGGGGAGATGGATGCTAGTCATCAGTGACTGTTGTACGCACTATTCAGAGACACGCATGGTACCATAGACTGATGCTATCTTCAGACTTGTGGACGTCTCAGGGTTGCAACAAAGACATCTAGCAATCGGC